ATTTTTCACTGCTCACCCTGTTTTTCCCTCTGGTGATCAGAATCAGACGTATGAGGTGTATGCGTACGTGGAGCACTTTGGTGATCTTAGAGGTGGACATTACACAGCAACGATAAAGTCCCAGGACGATGAGAGGTGGTACAACTTCAATGATGGCTGCGTCACGTTGGTAAGAACTTTAACTGAAGTTTTAATCCTTTTCCTGATTCATTGTGTCATGTTTGTTTAATCTTGTCATCAACAGCTTATTAACCAGCCGTTCCGACATGGTGACGATGAGAGGTTAGTTTTATTTCCATACTCTCTGTACTTAAGGCATTGTGTTTTCAGATGGTCTGTCCGCCCTATACTTGTGTACACAATATCTCAAGAACACCCTCAGGGAATTTCTTCAAATTTTCTTCTTTACTTGGACTCGAAAATGAACTGATCAGATTTTGGTGGGCGAAGGTCAAATCCTCTCTTGCCTATTGAATGCTTTGTCCTAAGAACTCGAAAAATCCTTTCACACGTGGCACAAATGTTCACTTAGACGCACAGAAGAATGGATTCATTTTGGGAGGTCAAAGGTCAAAGGCCAAGGTGGCCTCACAAAACATGCTTTTGGCCTCTTTATCAGATATTTAAAATCTGCATCAAGGGAACTACAATATTAATAATAATGGCTTCCATTTATTCAGCACCTTTCAAGGGAGCCAAGGATGCTTAACTCAATCACTCCATTTTTTTTACCAGTTGTCACGGGTACTCAAAAATGAAGTGAAGAGATGTCAGTGGTCGAGGTCAAGGTCTCGGTGACCTCATGTGATTCTGTAAAACAAATGCACGTTGACTGAAACTGCACTGGTTGATGGAGGCCCACAACCACTGGGCAGTGACTCTAGTTTTATTTATTTATTGCATGGGTGTTGTTACAGGTGGTCTAATTGTTACACCATACCCCCTGTCTAAAACATTTGTTTTACTGTATTTGAAAATGACCTTTATTTCTTCTTACACCCCTCCCCCCCCCCACTATAGCTCCGAGAGTGTTTATCTCCTCTTTTACAGGAAAAAGAAACGTAAGACACATGTATTTTCTTAATGCTCATACATCAGGGTGTTTGCCAATTGGCTTGAATTAATTTGAATCCTGCTTTCTAAGTCCACGTTGCAGATGTTCATACTCAAGGAATCAGTGAGGTGCTCACCAATGGAGGTTCTCCTCCGCCGGCTGCCGGTGACGATGAGGACGAGTGTCCAGACGTTGAGCAAATGACAGAGCGAGAGGAGTGTAAGGAGATGGCAGAAGTTTGTAAAGAAGAAACCAGAATTAAAGACAACGTCAGTGTCGGGTCTGCAGGAGTGGATCCCATTTGTAATGTGGAGGATCAGGACAATGGAGCTGGTGTCAGGCAGAGGAAGCCATTCAATGATCAGGAGTGTAATGAGGAAAGCAGTGACACGTGTGGTTATCTTCCAGATGAAAAACAAGAGGAGGATGGGGGGGGGATGATGCTGGGTGAGGAGGAGGGAGGAAAGGCAGAAGCTGAGGATCAGGCAGAAGAGAGAAGAGGACTGTTGTCTGTAGAGGCTCAGCTTGAAGAAAGCGTGGAGGACATGGACTGTGACAATGCAGAAATAGATGATGTTACACAGGGGACAGCAGATATTAATCAGGATTTGAAACCTGAGGCCAGCGACAGGGATGCAATACATGATTCTGTTAATGAAAAAGATGAGGTGAGAGAAGGGGAGGGGAGGATATTGAATACAAAGATGGACTGGGATGGAGGTGATGAAGGGTTAGAAAAAAACAAATCCATTGACGGTCATGCAGAGAGCCAGGAAATGGAAGACTTTCACGATGCTAGAGAGACACTCAATGAAGATCAGGGAGATAAACAGGAGCAAAATGCAGGAAATGACGAGGCTGAACAAGTATCCTCGACCAAGCCTTACTGTAGTGAAGGTGTGCAAGATCAGGCCGAGGGGAGGTTAGATGATGTCGGACAGAACGGACCAGAGGAGACGATTGGTGTCTCCCACACCACACATGAAGATGTCTGTGTCGAGGAACAAGCCAAAGAAAATAAAGACTCCTCTCAATCAGGAACGGAAAAGCTGAGGGAGAACGAAGGAGGTGAAGGTGTTGAAAAGATGGTGAATTCTCAGCCAATAGAAAGAGCTGGACATAAGGACGCTACAGTGGAGGGGGGAGGTGGGTCAGAGAAAACAATACTATACGTGGAGATAATTGAAAAGGAGATCCAGGAAACATCTAGTGGTGTTACAGTAAGAACTGTGAGGAAACGGATACCAATAGAAAGGAAGCATAAAAAGATAAAGACAGACTAATGTGAACCAGACTTCAGAGTGGGATTAGATTACTTTCAGAGATAAATAAATAAATGACCCTGACTGTAACGTGTAATGTTGTGTCATAGAAAAGATTGTGGCAAGAACTTCAACTGTTAAACTTCATTGAGATTTAAAATTTTTTTAACTTTTATTGTGTTGTCTTGTTTTCTATGTTACTGCCTCAATTAACAATTGTAAACATAATTGTCAGGAAGATCTATTGGATTTTAGGGTTTATTGTCTTTGAAACTGATGGATTGTGTCTTCGTTTACCTCATGTCACTGGAAGGATTTAAATGAATATCAATACATTTGTGTTTAATAATGATGATAAGGACATACACAACATAAATAATAAGGATCAGGGATTTATTGTATTGCCTTGTTGTCAATTCTCAAGTCAAATCAATTCTATTTCCATACCCGTAAAATAAAAACCTTCTTCTGGAGTGTGATCACTGATGAATCTGAGAGTAGAGTCATTTTCTCTGATTACGTTTTTATATTGTGTTTTCCAAATTCCTCTAAATTTGCTTTTTTTTATCTAGCTTTTCATTTCTGTTGCTTAAAAAAATGTTTTCTTGACACTGCAAGGTTCAAGGACAGGGATTTTTGTCTGCAACAAAATAAGGAACAATGATTATTTCTTATAAAATAAATTCCTGAAACTGCAATTTTGTTAAATTGAGTTAAATAACTGACTTTTGTTTTAACTTCAAATCTCTCCATGTGTATTGTGAGGGTGTTTGAACACAGTTTCACAATAGCCTACATGTGTGGTGTTGCTATAGGGATTTTGTAATATGCAAAATATTAAGAACTTCTATTGTAGATAAGGTTTTAAACTTATATATGATCCCCTAACATGAATGTACAATATCACACTGTAAAAAATGTTTCCCTCCTGTACAACTGCGTCATAGAGTGTCTCAAAAATAGATTGAGCTGCTTAAGAAGCTTCACAGCAGCTTGGGATGTTTTACCCAACCTGATCTGTGGCTTTAAGGGCGTTTCATACATATCATCCAAGTTTCTTATAAATCATATGATCCTGAACGCAGCATTTCAGCACAAGTGAAAGAGAAAGTGTTCTGAGGTGGGTGCAGGAGAAAGAGAGACTGTGTGTGTGTGAGTGGATATTAAGCAGAGGGAGAGTTGTGTGAACCTCACAGCTGAAGGTAGGCTCATTGTATTTATTTATTATTGATTGATTCATAGTTCTGAACAGTAGATAAAGTGCAGCTCCCTGTGCATCAGTGTAGAAGTGACTGATCATGACGAGCTGGTTTCACAGTGAACAGTTCTCCTCTGCAGGTAAGATCAACATCTTGTTCTCTGCAGTGATGGTGTGGTATCATGGCTTGTTCAACCAAGGGGCCACATGTTACCTGAACAGTGTGCTGCAGGTGCTGTTCATGACCAGAGACTTCAGAGAGGCTGTGGAAAAGTGAGTTACAAAGTCCAACTCATAATGTGTTCATTTTCAATAAGTTCACCTTTGACTCTGGGTCTGATTATTGTTCAGGTGCACCCCTGATAACACTGACACCAAGTGTATTGATCATCAACTCAAAGACGTGTTTGTAAGGTTACTGAAACAAACAGCACACACTGATGAAATCACACGGAAGCTGGGMATYGACAAAGGTACGTGACAACATGTTGCCTTAGATCCAAACCATTTTAATGAGTTCTCATTRAGCTCACATGGAGTTCTGTGTTCAAGAGATTGACCTTTAATATTCCACAGCTACTGATCTCCTCTCCTCCCTGTTCAGTGTACGAGCAGCAAGATGCTGCCGAGTGCTTCGAGAAGATTTTAGCTCTGACCAGTTCTGAAGCATCACAGGTAAACACGCCATCAGTGCTGAAGTTGAACATGTGAATTCCATGTTAAGTAACACTTGTTTGTGTTTTCAGATGTTCCATGGAGAGTTGACACGCACGATCACATGTTCTCGGTGTCACACAGAGAAAAGCACAGATGGGAGATTTTTGCATCTTCCTCTTGAATTGGTGGATTCCAACAGTGAATACTACAGAGTGGTGAGAACCTGACTTGAGCCTGAACAGCACATTTTAAATAGCACATTTTAAATTATATATAAATTAATCACATATCCCATTGGCTTTACCTAAGTAATGTCTCCTTCTGGAGTCCACAGATAAATGTTCCTGCACTGCCCTCTCCTGGAATTGTTGAAAACCTTCAAACCTGCTTTGTCACCTTTAGCCCTCTTGCCATCATTAATGGCTTCAGGAGCCAGTTTCATGTGTTTCATTAGGTGCATGGCATCCAGGAGTATTTCCAAACCTCATATTTCAGCGGAGACAACCAGATGTACTGTGAACACTGTGACGCCAAATCTGATGCCACTATCGTGAGTTATGAATCATGTGCACTAAAGGACTATAACAAGATGACAACAATACAACACATGTTTCATTCAGGAATGTGTAATGAAGGATCATCCAGATGTTTTGGTGCTGCTGCTGAAGAGGTTTTACTTTGACTACTATTACATGTCAAAAGTCAAAAACAACCGTGCGGTGCTTATTCCCCACTCCCTACAATTCCAACAGGTACAGTCTGTATTTTATTTTGTTGTATTTTATCACAACACATTAATTTTTCACTGCTCACCCTGTTTTTCCCTCTGGTGATCAGAATCAGACGTATGAGGTGTATGCGTACGTGGAGCACTTTGGTGATCTTAGAGGTGGACATTACACAGCAACGATAAAGTCCCAGGACGATGAGAGGTGGTACAACTTCAATGATGGCAGCGTCACGTTGGTATGAGTGGTCACTTTGACTTTTTTTCATCTGCGTATTTGTATGACATCTAATTTTTTGTTATTCTTTCCATCAACAGCTTGATAACCAGCCGTTCCAGACCAGCAGAACTGAGAAGTAGGTTTTCTTTCGTCTTTGATTTCCCATCAGACGTTTTTGCTGAACATGAAAATGACTTTCTTTTTCTCATTCATCCCATCAGATCCCTGAGTGTTAATCTTCTATTTTACATGAAAAAGAAAAGTGAGATATTTCTATTATTCTCACTCACATGTAGCGTGGATCGCTGCTTTAAATGTGTTTGTTAATTGTTTTATTTTAAACCTATTTTCTAGCTGCATACTCCAGAGAGGTGATCTCCGATGGGTTCTCTCCACCTGCAAACAGAGGCGATGTTACCGATGTCAGACTGTTCTCAGTAGGAACCCAACTTGGAAAAAGCAAAGAGGATCAGAATTGTGAGCGAGGAAAACAGAAACCTGTTTGGAACAGACCACAGAAGGGTTTCATTCAGAACAGAATAGATCCTGAACACAACCATAAAAAAGAAGCCAGAAACAGGCCTCTGAAACGTGATTATCCTCGAGATTGTGTGGAGGGACCGAGAGATAATGAAAGAACTGATTGTAAAGAAAAGAGAAAATTATGGAAAGGGACTGCAAAGCACCTACAAGATGAAGGATTGGACACAGTTGATGATGATGAGGGAGGTCAACAGGAACAATATTATGTTGGTGAGAAGAAAAAGAGAGAGGGTGAGAGGAAGGAAAAAGACAAGAAAGAAGGACGTACTGGGGAGGGAAAACGACACACTGTCAAACATGGTTTGTTGTTCAAACCTGGAGGCTTAAGGAGGATGTACAAAAGACCTCAGCAACAGAAAGAGGAGAGGAGGAATGTGAAGAGAGACAAGGAACGGAGGAGAGGAGGTGATGGACCTGCACAAGAGAAAGTAGAGAAAAGGGTCAAAGAGAATAGAAATAAAGGAGATGCTCAGTATAGTCAAATGAGACAATCAGACAGGAGGAGACAGGCAGCGAACCAGGGGGACAGCAGTGCTGGATATGAAGAGGGGGTTAGGAAAGATAGCAGTGAGGTGATGAACAGATGGAAGAAAACTGTGGAGAAAACCCCACAGAACACTTCAAGGAATAGAGAGACAATCAAAAGACAATCTGACCCGAAACCAGATGGAAGTTCGGCTCTGACGAAGGGCCTGAGCAGCATGAAGGTGAACGAGTCGCCTTCTCCAGAGTCACAGCAACGCAGAGCTGGAAACACACAGGAGGAGAATGAGACAAGCGCTGCTCCTCAGTCGATAGGAGAACATGCAAAGAAACCAAAAAACAAGAAAAGGACACCTGGCTGTTTTTTTTTCTTCCAAAAAAAAGACCAGAATTCAGATTCGGAATAAGAGAAAGTACACGAGTTGTCCGAGATAACATGTTAGACTTCACATGGCTGCATGTCAAAGTGGTGATTATACATTAATACATTAAGATCACATTAATGTCTATTTCATTTTGAGTTTGATCATCACACTTTATTTTGAATGTGTTGTCTGTCTCTGCTGCTTTGCTTACTTGTTAGTTTGCTTTTCTATTTACTTAGTATGAAAATATACATCAATAAATATACATCAAGTTTATTATTATTGTGAGCTATTTTATTGAGTGTCTGGATTTTCTTCTTCTTCTTCTTCTTCTTCTTATCATTATTATTTCACTAAAGACAACCCGGGGATAAAAAAAACAAAAACCTACCAAGGGCGAAGGCTGTTGCCAAGAACTGGCTCCTCTGTCTTTCCGTAGCGCGTCATCTCCTTCTTCCCTGTCAAACATGGCCGCCATCAGGAGCGGGGTGACACCGGGCTGCCTGGCGAGAAGTTTCCTGAGACGGACTGGCAAACCGAGCCGGGGCAGTGGATCCCTCTCAGACCCGTGGAGCCACGTAGGTTTCCTCCAGCGATCCGCGTCTGCGGCTTTTTTTTCCTGCTTCTGAAATAACGACGTAAACAGTGACTTCCAGCGGCTAAACTAGCTAGCCGGTTAGCATGCTCGATGCTAGCTAGCTGAGCGTGTGCACGTCTCCTGTGACTTTGACAGCAGCAGCAGCCTCACACAACATGAACACACCTGTGGCTTCACCAGGGTTTCAAACCAGAACAACGCGGGGTTCAGATAGATGCATTAACACATGCTAACGATCACCTGGAGACAATTAGTACTTTATTGTGTCGGATGTCACTGGAGCTGTGGCTATGCTACAGGCTAAGGAGGGTTTACACCTTACCTAGCTGTAGCTAAACAGAATGTACACAGTATGTATACTGTATAACGTTGTGGTTTAACCCTTACCAAGCTGTGGTTACACAGTATTCACACATGTACAGTAGCCACTCAGCTCGCCTAGTGTGGTGTAAATGACCTAAATCCCACTAGAGGTCGCTGTGTCTAAAGTTGAACCTGCTCCACACCTGAGACTTGAAGATCAGCTGCTGATGATTATCCAGATAAATTTCAACACAACATAGATTAAAATACATAAAAAAGGAGAAACATATATACATTTTAGTCTCCGACTTAAAGACAGCTATAGCAATGTCTCTGCTGTGGGGATTTGAGACATAGTATTTGATAAAACCAAGATAATTTCATTTTCACTGTGCTGACAAGTAAATGGAAACATATTACATATGATTTCTCAGGGCAGATTGGAAAGTGTTGACTCCTGCAGCCACTAACATTTCACTCGCACCAGTCCATCTTCATAGATTAGTGTTGCGCACAAATATAAGTTCTTGCAGAATAACGTGACAAGTGAACTATGAAATGTTCATCTGATTAGCTTGGCAGCAGATAAGTGACACAGTAACAACCTCAGAATTTTTCGTCAGGTTGTAGTTTTATTGTGTGAAGTGTCGACCCAACTGACTCTGACCCTCGGGCTCCCACACAGCGGTTGCTCCAGAGATCCCATCTGCACACGGTGATCGAGTGTCGGAGTTCGACCACCAGGACCCTGCTGGGCTGCAGACAACGCGGGAAGTTCCTCTGGGTGAACGCTGTGACAGTCAGACACAACAGCTCGCAGGTGATTGGTCGTACACGAGCTGCTGTAGTCCAGCTCATTTGGATGTCAACATTCTTACTATACTGATACTTAATGAGTATCGTTATTTCCAGATCCCACCTGAGGATGGATCAGCAGCAGCTCCAGTGGTGGGATCTCCTTACAGTTCTCCAATCCTGGAGTCCACCCCTGTCTCTCTGTCCGCTGACCCCACCCCTATCTTCGCACAGCCAATCACTGAACAGGTTGAGACCACATCTGGAATTATATCATCTGTCCCAGACCTGAACACCTTACATTAACGATGTTATTATATCTTTAAATATGTTTTCAGCTTCCAGTTGAAACCCTTTCCATGGCCGCACCAATAACAGAGAGCGCCATTCCTTCTGCCATCTTGAATTTGTCCCCTGAGCTTGTGTCCACTGACTCCACCCCTGTTTTAACGCAGCCAATCTCCGAGCAGGTGGCTGATGCTGCACCCACCGCAGTGGAGGTCCTTCAAGCTGCCAACACAGAAGCCACTCTAGCAGAGCTGGGACTGGCTGCTCACACACCTGTGGGACTGATCCAGAACATTTTAGAGTTTATGCACTTGGATTTGGGTTTGCCCTGGTGGGGGGCCATCGTTGTAGGTAAGCACGGCGCTCAACAAAAGCAGCACAATGTGTTTAATATCCTGCTCCCTTTTTCATTCTCTTCCTCCTCTTTCTAATCTCGTACAGGAACAGTGATAGCTCGTATGGCTGTGTTTCCAGTCATCGTGAAGGGCCAGAGAGAGGCGGCCAAGCTGAATAATGTACTGCCTGAAATGACCAAACTCACAACCAGGATGACGGAGGCCAAACAGAGTGGAAACAAATTTGAATGTAAACTTAAATTGTTCTCTCGCTCCGTGTGCGTGCGTGTGTGCGTGCGTGTGTGCGTGTGTGTCCCCAATCTGATCAAGTTGTCATGGCGTTTGTTTTCATGTTGCAGTTGCCAAAGCCTACACAGACCTGAACGTGTTCCAAAAGAAACATGATGTGAATCCTCTGCGTGGCTTCCTGGTTCCCCTGGTGCAGGTCAGTTTGTCTGTGATCGTCTCCACCATGGATGATTTTATCCCTCTCTGTTAGAAGAATAATCCCTGTACATATTCCCAGAACTGATAACTTTGAGATACCAATGATTGATACCAACCTAAAATGTATTTGATTATGGAATCATATCTTCAAATTTTTACACTTTGTTTCTGTTTTTCACTATGATCAAGACAAATCACTCATCTGTCTCTTCCCTCAGGCACCCATCTTCGTCTCGTTCTTCATCGCACTGAGGAAGATGGCTTATCTGCCGGTGCCCAGCCTGCAGACAGGAGGTCTGCTCTGGTTCCCTGACCTGACGGCAGCAGATCCTTTTTATATTCTACCTATAGCCGTTACTGGAACCATGTTCTTCATCCTGGAGGTGAGGCAACACAAAAAGACACGTTAGTTGCTATGATCATTGTTTAAACTTGATGTAAATGTGCTTCCCTTGTAATAAACATGTTGTTTTCTCTCTCTCAGTTGGGAGCAGAGTCTGGTATTGACAACCCCAATCTGAGAGCCATGAAGACTGTGTTCAGGATCATGCCTTTCGTCATCCTCCCTCTCACCATCAACTTCCCCACGGTCAGTCACTCGTCATTTTTTTGTTACCGTTCACCTCACAACAAAAAGCAGCTTTCTAACAGTACAGCTCTTCTTTTCTCGACTTCAGGCGGTGTTCACTTATTGGCTGACCTCTAACTGCTTCTCCTTGGGACAAGTGGCTCTGCTCAGACACCCAGTGGTCAGAGAGAGGCTGAGGATCCCAGAGAAGATCAAACACCCAGAGTCCGCTCTGCCCCAAAGTGATGGATTCCTCTCAAGCATGAAGAAGGGTTGGTGTTATTGACATGCAGACATATGATGTTTTGGATTTTGACTCTTATGTTAAACTAGAAAGGCATCCATTGTTTGATTCATTTAAAAAAATAAATTAAAAAAAAAGCCAGGGAATTGAAACACTGATTCTTTCTTCTCTGTGTGCGTTTCCAGGCTGGAAGAATGCTCAGTTGGCTCAGCAACTGGAAGAGAGAGAGAGGAGGATCAAAAATCACCTGGACCTTGCTGCTAAAGGTCAGTAACCTCAGCTCGTTGTAGCAGATTTACACCCTCGTTTAGATTTGTTTGTTTTGGTTAATTTCAATTAAAACTGAACTGATTAGCACCAAACTTGGAGTTTTCTTTTTTTAGTAAAACTGTCAAAACTGTGTTCCTCAAATGTGTCATTTATTCTTCCATGGGTGTTAAATGAAGTATTTACACACTTTTGGTTGCCTTTTTATAGACCAGACAGTGAAACAGTTATTTGAGACTTTGATTAATCTTGGGTGAAAATTCTTTGTTGTAGTTTCACGTCAGGCAAGAGTATTTTATGTTCCATTTTATGTGTTTTAATTAAACCCATGTGTCACAATTGCCCCCTGGTGGCCGTTTATCCGCCATGTCAGTGGATGGACATGGACTAAAAATTCAAAGTTCACATTAAATAAATAACTTTTCTCAAAGATGGTTTCTGTGATTTTACGTTGCTCTTTTCACACTGATGTTTGTTCAAGTGTTTCCTGTAAGTTTGGTTTTAATTAGTAACTTGATGTTATAAAAAAAAAGGGAATAAAACTTTATGATTGAATGACTCCTGATTGGTGAAGCACAGCAGCACATAGATACGTATTTCCTTCAAGTCTTTCTGTCCATTTTCTTCACAGGTCCACTGAGGCAGACTTTTACCCACAATCCTCTCCAGCAGACGCCTCCTGTAGCTGCAGCATCAGCGAAAGACAAGCAAGCTCATGACAAAGACAGACCATGGAAGGACACTATTGGATAAATCTGACTTCCTCGTAGCTTTATAGTTTTAAATCTGCGATAAACACATTGTAAATATTTATGGATTGAAGAGCGGACAGGTTGAGACAGTGTATGTATTATTCTAATTAAAATGTCAAATCTGCCTTAAAACAACCTTTGTGGTGTGAACATTGTCTTTATATTTAAAGAACCAACATACATGAGGAATTAAAGAAATGAGTCAGTTGTGTTGTCAACAAGTCATTTTATTATAAATACATGTTTTCAGCTCAACTGTCTCAAACTTACATTTAACAGCCCAAAAAAAAAACGAGTTACTTTGTGTAAAAATAGCCCTTTACTTTACTAGACCTCGCAGGTGACGGTGTAAAACACTTTGTATGATATATATACTTTTTCCTCCACAGTGAATGTGAAATTTATTCTAATCTATATAACTCCTTGCTTTTCTTATTGCGTTAATAATAATAATAATACCAAGACTGTTTCTATGTCACCCTTACTGTCAGTGTCAAGGATCTTCTCCCGTCCACAACAATTAAAACCATATTTGTCACCTTCCGCTATGATCAGAAAGGTTTCACATATATGTATCTTCACATAACAATGGTCTCGATATATCAATTGAATAATTCTCTACTGTTCTGTTACAGAAATAGGAGACGATTTCTTCAGAAATACATTTAATTGTTCTTTCTAAAGTCACAGTCAGTTAGAGTGAAATCCTGCCATCAAGCACCCGGACACTTCATACATAAAAAACATTAACGGGTGATGATTGACAGGTCAGAGAGCTGGGTCCAGCTCAGACCCAAGTGTTCTTTAGTCGAGGCCGTGCCGAGGCAGTGACCCATCAGAATGAGTTCCAGTTGAGCCTCAGTTTGTGCGTCGTCAGTCTGCGGCAGCGTGTTGAAACAAAACGTCTACTCTTCCTTGTCAGTGTCCATTTCAGTCAGAACAGAAAAGCAAACCTTCTGGATCAGCACGCCAGATTTAGCTGAAAGAGGCAGAGACGCGGGAAAGGTTAGAGCAGCTTGTGCATCTGAAAACAGCTGGATTCAGTTTCAGTTTACATCTAGAAAAACCAACGTCAGCTTGGCACAGGTCACATGAAGTGAGGAACTCCTGCAGGTCTCTTACCGATGATGCGCCGCAACCACAGTGGCCTCTTAGTGGCTGGAGTGTAGCAGCAGAGGAAGTAGACGGGCACTCCTGATAGGGCGATGCCGATTCCAATCAGGGAGTTGATGGTGTCGCTGTAGAGCGGCACAACCACGAGGAAGACGGTGAGGAGGCAGAAGATGATGGGGTAGAAGAGACTGAGCTGTGGGAGGGACAGAGACGGGAGAGTTGAGACCTTGTCTGAATCACATCAGGACAAATAAAGCGTAAATAGGTACCATGCTGGAGTTTGACTGATTTCTTGGGTTAGGTGATATGAGCCTTTCATGGATACATTTGTATAATAGTTTATTTCAGAAATATTAACAATGTAGTTAGCAGGATTACTCAAAATAAACATACACAGTATGTTTGAACTGGAAAAAAACCTGTCCCCCAAAATCTGTATCGACCAGGCTCTACAAAATAAATCATTTCACAAAGAGTTTCCCATAAAAGTGGCCTTCGATTCTCAACTTTATGAATCGCTGCACTTTTACCTAAATTGAATTGAAGGCCATCAAGCTGAAAAAACCTGATTTACCTTCAGTGGTCTCTTTCTGTCCGGCTGCTTCCACCGCAGATACAGCTGCCCCAGAATGGACAGACCCACAAAGAACCAGTAGCTGAAGCTGTAGTAGTTGATCAACCTGAAGACGTCTTCTACACACAGGTATATAAGAGCCATGACGCCCTGTAGACGTACGAGAAACAGTGAGTTAGACAGAGAGAAATGTGGGAATGAATGTGAAGACACTCAGATAATGGAGGAGAAATGGATGGTGAGGGTTGACTAACATTGAAGAGCAACGCAGGGATCGGTGTGTAACGGTGGACGTGGATCATGCACAGGTAGTCGGGGAGGTGGCCCTCTCTGGAGCCCACGAAGAACAACCTTTCAAAGACAAAAAGATGCAACAGGAGGGAGGAGATGAGTGATGCTGATGGACACAATGAGGGGGGGCACGGAATATGAAAAAGCGGTGCGATTCTCTCACCGGGAGGAGGCCAGGATGGAGGCGTTGAGTCCTCCGAAGCAGGAAAGAGCCACGGCGAGGGGAATGGTCCAGTTCATTACGCCAAACACCTGGTCTGCAAACGTCTGGAGGGGAACGAGGGAAGAATCTTAGACCAAAGCTGCGCTCGAGATTTGAGTATAAAGCTGAAGAAGCGCGGGCACTCACCACAGCTACAGCGTCACTGTCTAAGATGGCATTGATGGGGAGGATGGCGTAGTACGCCACGTTGGTCAGAATGTAGATCACAGTCACTATGGGCATGGAGATGGCGATGGCCAGCGGCAGGTTCCTGTAATTCACACACAGAAACAGCAGAGGGAAGCAAAACAGATGAGCGCGTTGATTATGAGAGCGATGACGGGATGGAGTCGCCACGTCAGGAGGCGACAGACCCTGTGGTTGAGGGAAGGATGGGGAATGCTGGGATAAGGGTGGTGGTGGTAGTGGTGGGGGGGTGTTTGTCACTTAATCTGCCTGAGAACTCCGGGAGAGGCTTGTGATCCTATCACGTGTGTGTGATTATGGCTGTGTGTGTGTTGGTGTGTCCACCACTTAGGTCCAGACCAAATATCTCCACACCTTTTACATGGATCGGTGCATTTGGTTCAGACATTCATGATCCTCAGAGGACGAGTCCTGCTGATTTCTCCGGTACTTTTGTTTGAAGCCAATCTGAAAACCAGCGCTTTGTGTTTTTTGCTTACTAATCATTTTAAGTGTTTGCATGCTGACGTGCTGAACTAAGATGGTGAACGTTATTGACATTATACAGCTTGAAGCCCGGCTGGGCCTGGATACAGCTTCACAGAGCTGCTATAGACTGTTTGGTCATTATTGAGGACCAACTCTTGGTGTTGACAACAGTCAGTTGAGACGAAAGGAATGGTTACAGCGCTCACAGGGGTACAGCTGCTGCAATCATTTCCAATGCATCCAAACATTTATCACTATTTGAAATATGTCTATACTAAATAAACAGGATGTACTGTCCAGTTCTCTCCGGTCGTCCTCACCTCTCTGGGTTTTTAATCTCCTCTGTGACAAAGTTGAGGGTGTCCCATCCGGAGTAGGAGAACAGGGCCGAGTACAGAGCCAGAGCGATGTCCCCTGGGTCCTGAGACGAGCCGTAGAAAAGGTCCTCGAAGTTCTGAGTGTGACCTGGAAAATAACAACGGCACGGTTCGATTATTATCGAATTAATCGAAGAATCAGTTGAACTCGCATTATCGTGATCGTTGCCGGTATTTGTTTTAGTTGTGTTAAAGCAGTGTTGGGTATCGCAGAGGTCCACACCTTGTCCGATCTTCACCAGGCCGGTGATGATGACGGCGATCAGCGCGATGACTTTGGCGTAGGTGAAGAAGTCCTGGACCCTGGTTCCCCACTTCACATAGGCACAGTTCACAAAGGTCAGCAAACCTGTGAGAGGAAACACAGTTCATAGATTACAAATATGCATTCATTACTCTCTCTCTCACACAAACAACACACAGAAAAAACTGTTGCTGTGTTCCAGCATGTGTCCGGGGAAAAGTTGGGCTGATTTAAGGAAACGCTGTTGCTGACTCAAGCAAACTGGCCTGTTGTTTTTCAGACGAGGAAACAGCTGAGTGCAGCACATACACACACACACACACACACACAGGTACACCCCGGGAAGCGAGGCTTGTGCTTTACTGATATGATGACCTTGTATATTGAGGTGAAGTGTGACCATGTCCACTTATTGACCAACAGTCTGAGCTGCTGATAGGAGAACTGCTGTCCCTCCTTCACCTTGACCGTCTCGGATGATCTTGGGAAACGTGTTGTTGTGCTTCACCCTGACACTTATCTGCCTTTGGCCTCTGGTCAGCCCATGATTCCCCGCTGCAGTTCATAAATACGGAGATAGTGAAGGCTCGGGAATGGCGGCTCATATCTTTTAATCATGCTGGGATTCATTTATCTTATTTCTCTTTTTTCTTTTACTCTGAAAATAATAATTCATGGATCTTGATCGCAATACATTTAGAGAAAAAGAGCAACACAGGATTACATCAACACCGTCAGCCGCAGTGAAGGGAGGTGAATCACAACACTATCATCTTCCACCTCATTGACAGGTGGAGGATCATAACAAGTCGGTTCCCGGCAGGACGCCTCTTCAAACACAACAAATCACAATGGCTCAGACGGGCGCAACCAGCGACGGGCAGCGGAGAGGGGGACGGTGCCACACAGAAGTAGAGGCGTAGTGTGTTGACAGTGAAAGGATAGAAGGGTGGGAGGTGTGAGATTGGGTTTAGGAGGCTCGCTGACTGGTAGCGGAGGTCAAACACAGTCCAGATGTGAGATGAAATGGAGATCTTTAAAAACTCATTCACTTGCTCTCTAACTGTGAACTCACGTGTGAATGTGAGACCACGACGCCAGATGTCAGCTGCTAAAATACAGTTTGAATGTAATTGAGAGAGTGAAGTAAACTTGGCTTCTTCTGTGTAATAATATTTTTTTTACTTTAACTAGATACAGATTTGAGTTTGTTTTTGAGTTTTTTGAAAGTTACGTTTCAATTCTGTGTCACGACTGAAACCCGGAAGACAAAGCTTTCCTTAGACTTCCCCACTTCTTAATTTGACTGAAAATAAAAAATAAAAATGCTCTTGTGATGTATTCAGGTCATCTCATTGTGTGATGCTCCTTCACAGTATCTGTGTTACATGCTGAGCAGAAGTACACAGTATCTGATGAATGCAAAAGAATCTCTTAAAGGTCAAAGTAAATAAAATTATACTGATCATTTTTACTGAGCTTCAGTACAAGTTGTATAATCTTCCATTAACACTATGGGAGAAGTTCTACTTTGAACTAAGAGAAAAAATTCTAATCTGAACCGTATCCGATTAAAATTGGGGGAAGTGGAGTTTACTGTGGTTTTAACTGTGGCTCCTGTGCTGAGCTGTCGGTTTGCCTCTCAGATCAGAGTGTCCATGCAGGGAGGACTTTACCTCACAGCTATCAGGCCTCCTCTGAGCGCTGCTTATCGCTGCGTGGGAGGACGAGTGACTCATATTTATTTCAAGGAGCAGAATAATAATATTTTCTTTAAATGTGAACCTGAGTTATTGCTTCAATAAGCTCTCTGTCTGCTCCTGGCCTTTTGCCTCAGCGACTGGTTGCCTTAGTGTTGGTATTTCTTTGTCTCTGAAGTTGTGTCAGTTGCCTCAGTGACCAGTCCTGTGAAGTTCTTGTTGGTTAATTCAGTTTGTAAGTTTAGTGGCGTCGTGTTCAAAATACTTCAGTGATTTGGGCTGAAACGTTGCTGCTACATGTAAGGAGAGTTTCCAGATCAGAAAAAGTTCACATATGACAAAATGCTGGGATTTTTAAATCCTAAGCAAGTAAAATGGCTGTTCCCTTAACTTTCCCTATGTTTGCAGGTCGCTTCCTTCCTGTTTCATCTGATATCACTGGCTCTTTTGGCTGCAGACCTGCTGACTACAGCTGTTGTGTCACTGTGTTTCACTTCTCTACGTCTCTGACGCTCACGTGCTTTGTCTAACACGTGAAAACAACAGTGGCCATGACAAATCATCACTTTTATCTCTCCCAATCTGTCACACTCAATCACAAACACACTCCAGAATTGTACTTACATATACATGCAGCAGCCAGCAGCCTGTTAGCCAGGTACGGAGCTATACAGGTGGGGAAAATGGGCTGCACCATGTAGTTGGAGAACGTGATGGCGATGACGGCCTGACTGGTCGGCTCGATGATGAGCAGTGACGTCCACAGGCGGATGAAGGCCATGAAGCCCCCAAAGGCCTCCAGGATGTAGGCGTAGGAGGCCCCCGACTTGGTAATGGTGGTCCCCAACTCGGCGTAGCACAGGGCTCCGAACACGGAGAAGATCCCGCCAACGGTCCACACCACCAGAGAGAGGCCGTAGGAAGCGCTGTGGATGAGGACGCCCTTGGGCGAGACGAAGATCCCAGAGCCGATCATGTTGCCCACGATCAGACAGACCCCGTTCAGGAGGGAGATCTCCTTCTTCAGCTTCATGGATTCTCCAGAGGGTTCTGACTTCACAGATGGGGGGCCGCCATTAGTCTCCTCTTGCGTTGGGGCAGGGGTGTAGGACGCCATTGTTCGTGTTTCAACAGTTTACTGATCAAATTTAAAAAATGTGGAGCTGTTCTCTGCTCAATGAGGCTCAAACGAAGAGTTTTTCCTTTCGATGGGGACAATTGATCTCTCGGTTATCTCTTATCGCCTCCTGCCATCTGTGGAAGCAGAAACACATGGTCAGGTCAGGGATGCTGTTACCACGGAGACTCATTGCATTTGTCACCGAGAGCAGACGTGTTGTTTCAATCTCGTCTGAATCTAGTCAAACAAAGACATATTTACATGTCACAGGCCCTAATGTGGGAACAAATATGCAAAAAATCATAATAAGACACTGGTGTGGACACTCTAGTGGATCTGAGAGCAGTTTTGTGGATTGTGGAGCCATTAGGCTGTGCAGCAAATGGCCTTTTAAGGTTGAGTGTATTGACAGAGAGAGGGGGGAGCGGAGCAAACATGTGGCATGCCTAAAAAGACTGGTTACTCTCTAGTAACCATAAGCTGAGGAAGAATTACCACCCAGCAATCCACCTACACTGGTGTGCCCAGAGATATAGAGCGTCAGCACCGTGGCTGGTCACATGTTTTCCAAAGTTCACGATCCTCAGCGGTGTAATGATGCGACAGACACACGTGAGGCAGCGTGTTCACTCACGACCGGCGTCAATGAGTCAGCGCCACGGTGCGTTAACAGTTGGCAACGCTCTCATTTACTGATGATGAGGTTTTAAATGAGATAGAGTGCTTCCTTAAAGCATGACACGAGGGCTATTGACAAATGTTTTAAATCTGCTGAACACAATGTTTTGTGAGATTTACAGCTGAGAGGAAACCCAGAATATATTTATATGAAACAGTTGTTTCAAGGAGATTTCAGTGTTTATCTGAAAATCTTCTGACTGTTGAAGCTCCTTCAGCTCAAAAATCCTCACCAAATATATCCAAGTTTTAACCCAGCTGACTTAAAAAATGACCTTTGAGCTCCTCAAGCTTTTCCTGATGAGCAGAACCAAACATGAGATTGATCAAATGACTAAACAGAGACTCAGGTTGTAGAAAAACTTGAAATTCACAGTTGCTCAGACAGAGAGATAGAGATAGGAAGAACAATGAGTTCAAGATAGGAGACAGAAGAGGATGAATAAGTAATTCAGAGGCAGAGATGTAGAAGAGAGTGAGCTAACCTGGTTTCAACATGCACACGAACACACAATGATTTAAGGATTCAGAGTGGAGGAGAAGATGAGTGTCGGAGGAGTTCAGATTACCTTGAGGCAGCAGCAGATCAGCAGCATGTGGGTTCATGAAGGACGGGACTGTGAAAGGGTGCAAAGGAGAGGGACGGTAGATGTGAGTGTCCCTGTGACTGATCAAACGTGATACACAGACACTGAGAGGCGAGGCCCCTGCCAGAGAGAGAGCAAGGTCCAGGGGCTGCTGATAAGTCGTCCTATGTGAGTAACTCAAGATTACATCCTGGATCCATAAAGTGCTCTCTAATCAAGTGTACAGTGGTAAATCGGTCTGATTGTCATGTGGATTTGGTTCTTTTATGGAAGCTTGGATTGAGACACTGAGATGTGAAGGGACAAATCAGCTGTTTGCAGGATGTCCAGTTCCTACTTTACTGTCGAAAAAATGGGTTTTCTGATTTGTCAGTACTTCCTCCTGAAATAACAAATAGAGTAAAAGGCCTCGGCTCGATCACTTCATTTGATTTCTATGCGGTAATTCATTCAACAATACATAAGCTGCAGTAAGCTACCACCAGTGTCTTCTGAGGTTTGCTCACTCATATGAATCACAAGTTAAAAGCAGCATTGAGCAGATGCAGTAAAAGAATAGCAGCTGTTGGTGTTTCGGGGGATGTTGGCGAGGTTCTCACCTTCTCCAGACGCGTCTCAGCTCCGTTTGGTCCCAAAACCTTGCAGCAGGAACAGTCTTCACTGATCACAAAAAGAAAACGGTGTGATTTAAAATCATTGATTCACCATGTCCTCGCCAGCTCCTCTCGAATCTTCCTTCCTCTTTCTCTGTTTTTCTCTCGGTTCTGATCCCGTCCGTGCGTCTTTACGCAGGGGTTTCCTCGTGTTTTGGCTCCGTGGTGTGCCACCTCTGCTCCTCAGCTGATGCACTTGTGGCTTTTATGCGCCACTTTTTCCCCCTCGACGCTTTTTACTACCAAGGAAACGAGTCAGACGGTGGGTGGGGTGAGGAGGTGAGGCGGTGGGGTGAGGGTTATCATCACTGATGGATGGAGGATGATGGCAGCACTTTGATTAACGTCGCAAGGATGATGAGGTGATTAGAGATGTTGTTATGCAAATAAAACCTGAGATGATTTAGGAATACAACCATTAGTCCATACAGTGATTCTTAATAGATGTATGAATGGTGGGAGGAAGATGTGTTTCCCACTGATGTGAGTGATGAATGCATTTATAAATGTTTCTAAAGTCTCTCTGTGGAGGTGGTTTAATCTGTCTGTAAACAGCAGGACAACGATTTAAAACCACACTTTACTGTACTAGGCAACTACCAATAATATAGATGATATAAAATTAAATAATCACAACGTTTTTTTGTGTGTAAAACAGAATAAGATTAATACATATGTTGTTTTAATACAAAATGGTCAAACATATGTTGCAAATACTTTCAAAACTATAGACCATGGCTCCATCTAGTGGATTTAAAAAATAGCACATGGATTTTTGAGTGTGTCTCTCACTGATATTTGTTACAATGATTTCTAAGAATATAAACTATATCATAAAACTTTCCCTGTTGTGTTTTTCAGGATCCAATATCTATGTTACTTCACTTAGACTTTATTCCTTCAGGGATATTTTCATAAAGACAATTTCAGTCACACAGAGTTGTCGTCAATCACACACAATAATTAAAGCAATCGCAATTTTTAAATATCTGTATGTATATATTATATATCAGAAAGTAGACTTTTAAAAGTTGAGAGGTTTAAACTCCCTGAGAGGACTGACACTCCTGACAGGCAGACATGCAGCTATAGGGACATTTAAAGTTTTTATAAATGTGCATTATTGTTTCACGTGTGTACCTTATCTCATGCAGACATGTGGTATGTTAACAGTTTTATTCTATTGTCTGTTCGTACATCAGCTGCTGATAAAGCCATTAAAAAATAAAATGTTGGGTTTTTATGGGAGTGAAAACCCATTTCTATGTTTTACAGATTTTGCTTCAAAACAAATACAAAACTAATTTGATAAGCAGATGTATTCAAAAAGCAAGTAACAAACCACATAGCTGGTCTGGAGATGTATAATTCAGTTAAATGTCAGCTAATTACCAAACATGTGGGATAAACAATTTATTTGTCTTTCGAATGGTTCTTGTTCCTTGAATGTCCACCTACTAAATATTCAGGTTTCATGACCTTTCACACCTTCTGAAACTTTTGTCCTTCTCACTGAAGATGACTGATTAATGCTTATTGAAGACTGATGAATGTGTTGGTGTGATCAAAGTCTGCAGCCATCACCTGAGGACTTTAGTTTGCACCTTACCCTCTTTAGTTTTTTCTTAAACTATTAAATAGACATACTTTTTTTAAAGTCCTTTTTTGATTGAGACACATCTCTTGCTGCTCATGAACGCATGTGGACAAACTTCTCACACATGGCTCCTTTCACTCCTTTTGTCCCGCTCTCTGCCCTGGCCATTCTTGTCCTCGGTTACTGGTTGTCATGGTTTCGGGAGCCCCATGTAAGCTAAAAAACTGGAGGGATTAAAGGCGGCCATTTTGGGGACAGCTGGGCCAGGTTGGTCCTTGTTGCCCCCTGTCCCGCTCCCAGTCACTCTGGGGGGAAGAGGGATGGCATTGTGTGAGGATTAGAGCTTCCTGTGTGTCAGCTCATTACACGGGGTGTGAGGGGGGGAGTACAGGGGTGATGGGGTGAGTAGAAAGAGTGAGGGAGAGAAATGAAAGAGAAAATGAAAGAGAGTGCGTATGAAAGAGAGTATGACACAGGGAGGGGAGGGAGGGAGGTGGTGGCCTCTACAGCTGCACCCTCAATCACACTCATACAGGCTCTGATTATCCTTTTCACACACACACACACATGCGCACACACACACACAAATGTACTGGGGAACTGAAACATATTAAAAAGACACTGAGGGCAAAAAAAGGCAGAATTAAGAGACAGCTCGCCAGCGTCCCCGGACAAAGGACTCCCCCCGAATCCAAGAGCTGGAACAAACATGAGAAAGCTGAGCGTACATGCAGGCGCACACAGAGGACGAGTCATGCAAACAGAATACTGAAGCAGTTAAATTAATTCACAGGCTCAAACCGAACCCACACAAAAAGAATCTCCACAGACGAGACACACACAGGTTTCCTCTTCACATCGTCGTTGTTTTATTTATCTTTTACACATCACATGGGAATCATGGGAACATATTTTGTCATTGCTACAAAAAAAAAAGTTGGGTTTACAAAGGGTAAAAGCAAAGCATACAAATCCTAAACTGGGCTAAGCAGGAATGCGGTGAGTGCAGACAATTTCTGCAGGAGCAGAAAACTCTCAAGTGCTTTGAGAGGGGGGGCGGGTAAAGAAGAGGGGGGGGTATAACGGACGGGGCTCATCCTTGTGGTCGGCATGACGCTGCAGATCAACAACAATACAAACATTTACAATCATCAGTATGAATAAGGTCATTTGCTGCTAGGAAAGTGTACAGCTGTAAGAACAGGACTGATAATCTAACACAATCATCGCCATCATTATTATTATTATTATCATATTTATCTTCATTGCTAGCGTGCGTTTGCTCCAGTCGATGTTTCAGCAGCACAGGACACAGTGCAACTCACAGTGCAACGCACATCAGAAACATGCATTCAGCAGCATCACATTCAAAAAAAGGAAAGTAGTAACAATAAAAAGGCAGAAAACATAACCGCAGCTCATATTTACAAACTTTGGCCATTTCTAATTTGGCCTGTTTTGGTATGGAGTTCATTTTGTAAAATTCTGGACCCTCCACTGTGTGTGTGTGTTTTTTTAAATCAGCTTCCTGCTGAAGTAGGTGTCAGAAAAAAAAGCGCAAACAATTAATTCTCCTCATGACAACGCTGTGAAAGAGTGTAAGATAAGGCCTCACTGTGGTCTTTGAAATACAAAAAATACATAACTAAAATCCTACATTCAAACGTCTCTTGTAAAAGTACTACAATATAAACTAGATCTATTTGCCTAATACAAAAAGGTACATGTGAACTTCAATTAATAACTCTAAAAACAAATCTCATTCTATGAAAAAAAATACATTCCCTTGTCAGGACCCTTTAAAAATCTACTGCAGCCATTCGACAATAATAACTACACAGTAGTGTCCATAGGTTTGTCCGTCACGTCAGAGCTAACACTGATCGGTAGAGGATCTGCGCTGTCACCTTTCTTGGGGGATTCAGCCAATCCCTGCTTACCATCTTGCTCTGTCGGGTTCTTATTGGTTGAACGTGAGCTGTGATCCTCTGCAATGTCATTGTCATTGGTTTGGGCAGTGGTGGGGGTGCTGGTCAATGCTCCAGGGTGAGTTTTCATATGTCCCTGGTGGAGAAAGATACAACAGACGTTTACACACAAGTCTAAAAGTTTTTTTTTTTTAAATGTTTTAAATAATAATTAAAACACATCATTTAAATATCTGCAAAATCAAAATCAGTTAAGACTAAAGGACAGTATTGACTCTTACCTTAAGTCCACTACGGCTGGCATATGCCTTTCCACATTGAGTACAGCTGTAGGGTTTGTCTGGGCGGGAAGGTTGGCTCTGTGGTGCTGCTGCTGGGGCAGAGGGCTCTGGGCTCTCTGAAGGCTTTTCTGGAACACTGTAACCCTCCTCCCCTGGAGGGTCTTTGTCCACACCTGGATCCAAACCTGGCAAAGGTTCTCTGGGTGTGGTTGTCTCACCCTTCTCTTTACTCTCCTGTGGGCCTTGTGGTACACTTCCACAGGCCGCCTCTCCTTCTGGGATAGCTTTGGGGCTGGCAGGGGGGGTGAGTGCAGGTAAGGCATTTGCAGCTTGGGGTTTTGGGTTAGAATCAGTGGCAGTCGTGGGTTTGTCTGTGGCATGGGCTTCATCAATACTAACCTCTTTCTGCGGTGTATCATTTTCTACCCTAGGCTTCGAAACACAGAGAGAAAGAGGGGTGTCATCTGCCTCTGTATCTTCATTCATTACAGCTAAGGGTGCTTTGAAAGGGCTGTTGCTTCCCAGGTCAGTGTGGGTCTCTTCTTCTGGGCTGTTCATGCTACCATCAGCTGGGGCGTTGTCTCCCAGACGCAGGGGGTCTTCAGCTCCTGCTGTGGGGGGATTACGGGTCATGGGTGGACTAACACTGGGTGCCGAGCCCTCTGTTTCCTCTGTCTTCACAGAAGTAACATCAGCAGCTGTGGATTGTTTATTAGTGGACCCTAACATGAGCACACCATTTGGCGACTTGGAGCCTATTGTTAAAGCCAAGGGAAGGAGTTGTTGGCCTTTAGATGGGGAGTTGATGGCATTCTCATTCTCACCATCATCGAAGACAGCACTTTTCGTTTCTGTACCATCTTCAAGTGGTATGTCTTCATCAGGTGGTATTTGCCCTCCGAGGTGCAAGCGAATGTGGTGCTGAAGAACCAAGGCATTTGTAAATTTGCGTGGGCACAGTGGGCAGGAGTTCAGGGCACGGGCATTTGCCGGTCTTGCACGGTGAGTTGCAAGGTGAGCCCTTAAGCTACCCTTTGTGGAGAAGGAGCGACCGCACAGTTTACAAGGGAATGGACGCTCTCCCAGATGTGTGGCCTGGTGCAAACGCAGAGCTCTGGGGCAGCTGAGGACACGCAAGCAGACACCACACTGGTTAGCAACCTGGGTACTAGGCAGAGAAGGGGCAGTGGTGGTAGTTGTGGTGGCCAAACCTGAGATGCCCTGGCTGGTCACCAGTCCTGCAATACTGGCACTTGGGCTCAGACCGAGTGCAGCCAACATTTCCCTGCGATAGGCACTGGAGGTGGTGGTCAGGTCATGACCATATGTGTCCCCATTGGCTTCAGCAAGTGTTTGTGCGGAGGTGGATGAAGAAGTGGCAGAGAAAGAGGAACCTCCCTGGGGTTGTTTCTCAAGTTTCTGGACCAGCCGCTGCAACTTGGAGGTGTCAGAGGTCTGAGTAGAGGTGGTGGGAGAGGATGAGGATGGAGAGGAGGTTGACGGTTTGGGGAAAGGTGGAAATGGGAAGGGTAGCTGATGAGAAGTGAGGTGGGAGGTGGTAGGGTGGCCCGGAGGCCGCAGAAGTGCAAGGTGATGAGATGAAGTACCTCCAGGGAAAAGAATCTTAGGGAGGTGGGCCAGCTGGGAGTATGGGGAGGTTGTATGGAGGGTAGAGTGAGGAGGTGTGTTTTCATCAAAACGCTGCTGCTTTGCACCTTTAAAGTGGCTTCCCATGGAGGAGGAGGAAGAGGAGGAAGAGGAAGCCAGTGCAGTGCTTGATGCACTGGCAGCGGCTGCGGCTGAAGCTCTGTTCAGCTGAAGCAGTGAATGAGCTGTGGACAGCAGTGCCATGTCCACCGTGGGGGGCAGAGGTAGAGAGGAAGGGGAGGGCCGAGTGGATGCACCAGGTAGGAATCCTAAAGCCATGTTCTCTGTCATTCCAGGAATGCTGCCTTTTACTGCATTAAATGGCTCATCATCATCAGCCCGCCGTTTTCTCCTCCTCTGGATGGCACCAGGAGCAGGTCCACTCTGCATTTGGTCAGACAGGGCTGGGGGCAACAGGGAGAGGGACAGCTCTGGGTTCTGCTCTCTGTGTCGCAGGAAATGAGCTTTGAGGTTCCCTCTGGTTGTAAAACGGCTCAGGCAGACTGGACACTGGTAGGGCCTTTCCCCTGTATGTGACCTCAGATGGATCTGGAGTGACGAATCACTGCTCAGCACTTTTCCACAATAACGGCAGACATGCTGAGGGCGTCCAGATGAGGCGCCAGAGGAGGAGTTGGCCTGGAGATCCTGGGAAAGGCTGGTGGTGGGAAGTGGAGGAGTAGGGAAGCTGGTGCCGTTGCTGAATGAGGAGGTGTTGGAAGATTTCTCATGGAGGTAGCGAGGCGTTAGGCCCAGTGATAAGGACAGTGGGTGTAGGGAGGCAACAGAGGAGCTGATCGAGGACAAAATAGATGCGGAAGAAGAGGAAGGTATTGAGGAAATGGTAGAGGAAGATGAAGCTCTGCTGCCATTAATGTGTGAAGCATTTGATTTTGAGATGGCTGACTGAGGGAAGAGGGAAGATGGAAGGCCGTTCAAAAATGATGAGGCTGTGGTCACTGGAGTAGCAGTGGAAGGGTGTGTTGGTGATGAAGACGTTGTTCCTATAGACTTCTGGTGTCTTTCTGCACCGTTGGCCTGTGTGTTATTATCTTGTCCAAAGACAGCCCCTCCGAGCCTCAGAACCTGCCTACAGATCTCCTCTGTTATCTGCATCTGGTGGATTTGCCTCTGCTGTAAAACCCTCAGCTCCTCTAGGAGTACAGCCAGGGTTGGAGGCACCTGGATCTGTCCCTGCAGCCCCGGAGAGCTGGAGGTATGTTGCTGACCTGGACTGGAGCTGTCCCGTGCAGGCGGCACAAACTGAGAGGATGTGGAGGAGGACGAGGAGGAGGTAGTGGTGGTGGCCGAGCTGCCCATCGGTGGGGAGGTCATAGTGGAGTGAGAATTTCCTTGGTGGGACAGGCTGTGGGAACCTGAGATTTGACCAAGGGGAGGAGGCGAGTGAGTCTGGGAAGACAGCGAGGGGTGAGGAAAGTCTGGGGAAAGGGAGGAGTGGGTGTTGGGGAGGGAGGTGGTGAAGGGGGCGATGTGGCTGGGCCAGTGGGGAGGAGGCGAGCTCTCGCTGGGTAAGGAGGGCGCGTGGAGCCCACCGGGGGATGGGCGAGGGGCCAGAGGCGGCTGGCAGTCTTGGAGAGAGGTGGGGGATGAGGATGAGGATCCTGATGACGTCACTTCAGAGCCCAGAGATGTGGACGGTGACTTCATTCCCAGGTGGTCATCTGAGGAATGACAAAAAGAGAAGGATGCTCAGAAGTTTGTAAAAGTCATTACATTAAAATCATTACATTATTGTGCAGAATTGATTCAAATATATAATGTGAATCCATTTAAACTTTATGGCTCAGTTACAAACTTTGTTTATGTCATTGTTTCCAGTTAATGTTTACAAATTTAGTTTTAAGATTTGTGTGCAGACCAGAAGATCCTGTTTCACCTTCACGAGAAATGCCTGCAAGGAAATGGCCAAGCAAATAAACGAGTGGAAGAAACTCTGCAGTCTATGAGTCTTTGTAATGTCTTGTCTCAATCTGTGCTCTCTGCAGCAAAACTCCTCAAACATCTTGCACACACAAAAAAGCTTACAGACCACCTTGTTACTACGGCAACACATTTTAGAGGACAATGGGCATCACCAAGACAACCCATAACCCCTCTTAACCCACCCCCTCCCCGTAGCAGTTACGTCTTTCATCTCCCTATTCACCCTTCCCCCCTTACGTCACAGTGGAGGTCAAGGGTCAGGCTACGCTAAGGGTTCTGGGCACTGTCCAGACACTCTGATTGGTCAACTAATCTGACCTCTGCTGCTCAGGGGTCAAATTCTTTCAGAATCTTGAGCACAGAGTGAGAAAGAGTCAAAAGAAAAAGAAGGGGGAGGGTAACAACAATGGAGAGACAAACTAACTATTCCCTCCTGGAGAGATATAGTGATGGAATGAAAGACTGTACCTCAGTGAAATTCCTTCCTTGTGACTTATAAACAAACCTGAACCTGCAGGCGACACAGAAATAAATCTAAACTTCCACTTTCATTTGTTCAGGTTTACCTGCAGAGACTCTTACATGCATGCACTTGAAGCTATGTCCCATTGCAGCACAGTACAATTGCGAGAGCAATCTCTCTATCCCCTCTCAATCTTTTTTCCCATCCATCTGAAAGCCCCCCCCCCCCCAACTGTGTAGGAGTATACAGTCAATAGGGCTGGAGGGGGGAGGAAGAGGGAGAAAGGAGGGGGGAGGGAGGTATTGAGGAGGTGGTAAATGGGGGGAGAGGGGTGCATGAGGAAGAAAAGCATGGACGAAGAGCAAAAGAAGAAGAGAATAGCAGGGTGGAAGATTAATCTTGAGCAAAAACACTGTCTTCCCTTCCCCCCACTCATGCACCTTATTGTTAACAAATAAGAGGGAGCTCTATGCTAATCAAAGACCTCCAGCAGTCAGCACTGAGCAGCCTGTTGGTTTCCTGCAGGACGCCCTGCACATGAAAATGGCCACAGATGTATGTTAGTTAATCCTCCATTCACTTCACAGGGACAAGTTTATTGGCCCGACCAAAGTGCCCAAGGCCTCCATTTAGTGGGGCCCATTACTGTGAGTGAATGAGCCGGATGAGGTTTCAGCAGTGGACAAACTTTGTAAAATGCGTTAAATCAGGTGCGTTTGCAGGAATGTGGCCACGCACAGGCCTGCGTGAAAACAAAGTGAGCATGCAAGACAAACCCCAAACATTTGATTCTGTAAAGTTTCTCTCTGACTTCAAATGAAATCCACATGCAGGTTTTTTTCTTGGAAGCGTCCCTCTGAATAAACGGAAGGATAAAACACATGCGCGCACGTAAAGCGGTGTTTCTTACCGTGAGGGAGCAGCCGTGGGCCACCCAGGTCCGCGTTAACGAGATGCTGGGGTCGCTTCTGTTTCCGGCGTGACATGATTCACGGCGACTCAGTCACACAGAGAGGGGGGCATCCGTGGGTCGAATGGCACAAGGCACGGTTTTTGCGCACTTGGAACGCGCTCCTGGAAGCATCCGCGCGTCCAAAGTTAGTTTGGTGTAAAAGGAAAAAAAGTTCCTTTCATAAAAAAAAAAAAAAAGAATTTAAATGTTATCAAATGCGTTTCAAGTGTTGAGAGAGCGCTCTGCTGTGGAGTGGAGGACGACAGAGAGGATAGAAAGGTGAGTGGAAATCCGCAGGTCTGCACCGTGTCAGATGAATCTGCCGTGGGTGCGTGTGTGTGTGTGGCTGTTTTCTAAAGTCTCTTCTCCCCCAAAAAACTTGTCCAATTTGCGCCCCTCCTCTCCCACTCCTGCCCCGCTCTGCATGCACATACAGGACACACACACTCACACTCACACACAGCATATACATACACACACACGCCATACACACTCATACACACAGAACCACTCCTTGTTCCTCACTGATATTTGCATTTCAATGGCGTGTAACACAGCCTCCCCGGTCCTCTCTCTTTCTCTGTCTGCCCAGCTTTATTTTGTCTTTACACACTCACAGCAGCTATAAACTTCCAATATGACAATGAGGTGTCAAAGCTGCTGGACAGAGGGAAACCAATTAAAAGTGAGGTTAGAATTGACTGTTTGCTTTTACACGTTTTAATCATTGCAGGATAAAACACATCGTGGGTTGAATCAACATGCAACATGTATGTGAGAAGTCTTAACAGGTGACATCTGTTCAGGGGCCCTCAGGTGTCCTGTGCTCATAATCCTATAAAAGATCATGTGATTATAATAATCGACTGGCAGGTGCAGGCCTCCATTTGCAAAAGTCACAAAAAAAAAATCCATGTTCCGGGCTGTTATTTTGCCAAACGTGGCGTGTGCAGGCAATATTTCTACACTTTGATTTCTATAGGGCCAATTATCAACAACAGTGCAGTGAGTGGCTGCCGTCTGCAAGTGGGGCCACACAGCATCCACACATGCATGCATGTATTTAGTGTGTTATCACCAGCCACATAATAAACCCCCTCCCTACCTCCCTCCCTCCCTCCCACCCCCCCAAAAAAAGCATCTTACACTGGAGCTCTATTTAAAAGGCAGAGAATAGATGGGAATCTTTGACAATGGCGTGCTGGACACAGTTGAGTGAGCATCTCCCCTCTCACACTATGAACCCCCGGATCCACTGCTGCACAGCACAATGCCCCTCTTTCACCCCCTGCCTTTACTCCTGTACCACGTGGAGAAATGGATAAAAGAGAGAGAGAGAAAAGGGGGGGGAGCAGGAGCAGGAGGAGGAGGTGGGCCATATTTAAGTTGGTGTCTCACATTATACATATATCCACTATCCACTGACTTCACTCAAGCTCAGTAGTGTCACAGAAAACAAATAGAAATCAATACATACCTGGATGTAAGGCCAAAAGACGAAGAAGTGGTTTTAAGCAATGTTGATCATCTCCTCAAGGAAAGACTCAACACCACAATCTATGATACTCCAATCAAAGTGGAAATCCAGAATTCAAAACTGCACGAAAATGAAAACAAACTAAAAAGAATTATCAGCATTATGAATTTAAAGTACCAAAAGTATTTACACTTTATATTTACTTTGCACATGTATCAGGCACTGCACAAGTTTATATATAGTTTACAGAATATATACAATTATATTCTACATTTACAAGTTTTATACATCTAGATATAAATCTAGATATATAAAAACTATTTCGAGTCGTTTTTGCTATTGGTTGCAATCAACCAATCAGATCACAGCATTCCTTCAGCGTCACCTGCTGCTCTCTGCACCAGGAAGAACTCGCGCTAACAGGTAGGTTGTTCATTCCCGGAGATTAACTCTGAATTAAAGGTCAAATTCAGGTTTAAACGTCGGATTAAACTCAACAGACGGATTCTTTGTCAAAGTCAGATCGTGTTTTTCAACAGTTGAGCAGAATTAAGTGTTTGATTCAGTGAAACTCTGCTAGTCTGCTATTGCTAACGTTTCAAAACTAGCTAGCTTGCTAATTAGCCATGCATCTTTAAATTTATGTTCATACGTCTTCACAGAACAAAGGGATGTATTTCAACTATCCAGTGTTTCCTTATCTTATCAGTTAGATTAGATTTGAGTAAGTACATCATTTTGCAAGTATTGAGTTAATGATTACATTTCACAGGGTTGAGAGGAAGAGTTGAATTAGTTTAAGAGATATTTCTTATTCATTTAAAAGTGGGATTTCAAATACAGCGCCTCTATATGTTAACAAAGGCCAAATCTAAAACTGTAGTTATTTTCAGATTAACAATAATCTCCCAACCCCAAGAAAAAAATGAGTGGAGAGAGAATCTGCAATTCAGCATTTACTGATAAAATAAGATACAACAATAAAAGTTAATTGTGATGATATTTTCAATCCCAAATGTTGTGATTTTTGATTCCCCCATTACTTTCAGAGCGTATCTGCCCTCTCTGACCTTCAGCCATGTCCCTCTGCGACGACACACTCCTGTGTAACTTCCCAAAGTGCCGGACCAAGCTGAGCGGCTTCGCCTGGGTCACAGCCTGCTCTCACGTTTTCTGTGAACAGCACGGCTCCGGCGAGTTCAGCCGCTCTCCTGTCAGCTGCCCGGCCTGCTCCTCTGCGCTCTCTGGGAAGCTGGACATCGTGAGGACGGAGCTGTCGCCTTCCGAGGAGTACAAAGCCATGGTGCTGGCAGGTTTGCGACCGGACATCGTGCTGGACATCAGTTCCCGTGCTCTGGCCTTCTGGAGCTATCAGGTCAAATATCTTTCTCCCTGTCTATGAACTGCGCAGATCTGTGTCTGTGAACCTTGAATTGTCTATGTCATTTTGTCAGTAATTTGTATACAGGTCCATCAGGAGCGTATGTACCAAGAGTACAGTCTTTCCCGGGCAGAGTCACAGCTGAAGCAGATGGAGAAGGTGCTGAACCAGCAGAACCAGAGCAGAGAACTGGAGCTCACCGCCATGAGAGGGGAAATCTCATCCCTGAAGAAGGTAAATCACAACTCTTAACACTGGGAAACGGGAAAACATGTCTCTATTGTGATATTTCTTGATTTTACTGATGGTTGGATCTGTATCGACACCTAGGACCGTATGACAGAAACTTCATAATCTGAAATCTTAACTTTTAAGTGAGGGTTTGATTTATAAACTCAGGAGAATAAATACAAATCTAGAAAACCTTATTTATTCCGCCAGGTGATGGAGGAGTATAAGAGGAAGTACAGTGAGGTGTCTGAGAGGCTGATGGAGAGGAACAGACAGTACCAGAAACTACAGGGGCTGTACGACTCTCTGAGGCTGCGCAACATGGTGGTGGGTGTCGGGGAAAGAGATGCACAGCCACAACCAGGACATCATGACTTCATCACAGGTAAGAATTTCAACAAATCAAACGAAGATTAACACATTTAGAAATGTAAAACCTACACTCTTGAAATGATTGATGCTTATTGATATTTTACCCTGAGAAAACTAAAAAGTTCAGGTGGCTTGTAGAAGTTTATGGGTTTATCAGGACACAAACTCGGTCTGTCCACGAACACCAAATTTTAATTCATAGACAAGGAACATTATCAGATCATTTCCAATTCTCTATGTTTAAATGCTGCAGAAACTTTAAGGCTTTTGATACTAAGTTAGTTGTAGAGAAAAATAAATAAACTTTCTCCAGTACAGATGAGAAAAAAACCTTTGAATGCTTTTATAATGTCACTTGTCGCATTGTGCCCACGCTGATGGATGAGAAGAGGAAGGAAGCTCAGCAAGAATAATGTTAACTGGCACAAAGGGAGACACAGCTGTAGGTGTTTTGTCAAGAGGTCATGAAGGAAGAACCGTGGGAGTAATGAGCTGATTGTCTATGTCAGGGAATTTTAGTCGGTGCAACAATGAAAGAGAATCTCTTAACCTGTTGTGTGTCACCCAGGGACGGCTCGACCAGCGACTCCCCAGAGGAGTCCCGAGTTCCACTTCATGGGCTCTGATGTGGACAGTCGATTCTTCTCCTGCCTGGAGGCAGATGGAGCCAAGACTTTCTTCCAGTTCAGCTCCCCTACCAGGGAGAGAGGCCGGCCATTCGTGAAGAAGCACTGACAGGAGCAGGTTTCATAACTGCCTCTGCTCTCGTCACCCAATTGTTGTGGTTTAATATTAATTAAGTTGAAAGTTTTTCTCCTAAGGGGCTTTTGTGTGATTAATATGTGGTTTTGGACAATAACAAATGTTGGATTAATATTGTAGCTTTGCCTTTAGGTCTGTCCCTATGTCTTTTTACTGAGCACCTCCAGCCTGCCAGTGTCTTTCTTGCAGTAGACAGTAAATATTCACAGTTATGCACAGACAAGCATGTACTGTAAGGTTACATGTAATAAGGTATAGCATAAACGTTTCCTTCACTTGTTTTTATTGATGTTACTGATAACCACAGTTAATTGTGTGTAATGTGAGGTTTAACTGGTAAACTGAAAGAATGAGGAACCAAATGTTTTTGTCAAATTCGTCTTTTTTTTTTTAGATCAACTTAAGTCATAACTCTGACATCACATTGTCGTCATCACAGGTTCATTCATTTACAAAATCAACTCAATGTCCGTGCAACAGAATACAAAAAAAAAGCGAGAAATATTTATAAATATAAACAAGTTGTCTCTTAAGAACATGTAACGCTTCCAAAATAAAAAAAACACATAAAACAGTCACAAACTTTGGAAACTTCAAACTTTCATAAATATCCAAACTGTTCTTGCTTTTCCAGCAAGAAAACAAACAAAAAATTGGTCCTCTCTCACTTCTTCTTGCTCGGCTTAGTCGTGCTGAAGCTTGTAGCTGACGGAGGCAGCAATCTGACTGTGGACACTTTGTTTCTTTCCGTTGACGATGAGCAGCAGAGGCGAGTCCACTCGTATACTTCTGAAGTCAAACGACTGCCAGAGAGGAGAGAGGCGAGAAGTGAGAGTCAGACAATGAAACAGACGTTTTTCAGTAACTTTTCTGAAATTAATGCGTGTAACTGACCTTATCTTTATGTGTTATACTGTGTCGTTTGACCTGAGGTTCAGGAACGACTACACTGTCTCCTATCAAGACACCCCAGCTGTTGGCTGTGTTGTAAACCATCACCACCATGCAAGTCTCCTCGCTGTCCACCATACCGAACGCACTGAGGAAAAGACAAATTCACATTTTACTCTTCTTCCACCATCACACAAAGACTGAAGAAAACTGCATGAGGACAAGTGGACTGTTATTAATAACAAGGAGCGGTACTCACAATGACATGCGACCCTCAGAGGCCAGGCTGAACACCACCTTGCCCAAGGCGGCCACCCCAGCGTTGTGGCCGTGGGAGAGGGAGGAAAGAGTCCGAGGCTCCAGGCTGCCCACACGGCCTGTGGGGGAACGAAACTGAGGGGAGGAGCAGGGACCAAAAGCCGACGTGTTGAGATTAGAGAGCATGTTCCTTAACCGACGTGCCTTTACCGTCCCCTGAGGAGAAACACAGACTGAAGGTTAGTCCCAAAACAAGTAATATGGCTGCACTGTGCTGCCACCTTGTGGTAAAAAAGACAATGAGGTGACCAACCCATTCTCTTACCTTGTTCTGTGCAAGTTTTGTGACTTTCTCCAGATACTCCAACAGCATCTTCTCTTTCTCTGGAGGCTCCTCCCAGCCCGGATCAAGTGCTGCCGCTCGGGTGTAGCCGTCAAGCGCCGACCCGAACATCTCCTCGTACTGGAATAGTGTGGCTCGGTTGAAATGCAGCTCCGGGTAACAACAGGCAGCTCTGTCCACTTTCTCCTACAAAGTCGGGAGAAGAGTAAAATATTATTACAGAAGTTGAGTTGAATTGGAATTAAATGTGTGTGTGTGTGTGTGTGTGTATATATATACTCACAGATTGAGCATAGGCACTAAGAGCTTGCTGAGAAAACTGAGGATTCTGTCCGCAGTTGAAAAACAGGGACACATAGGCATTTCCCAGGATATCTATAAAAACAACATAAAGTGCAATTTTGTTTAATTACGTGCATGACAGCAACATTTGTGTGATGACTGTTATTATTTCTGGAATTATAGGAACACTGCCTCCTTGAGACTGTGACACTCTACTCACACCAGGACGTCCCGTCTGTGACATCTAGTTGGACAGCTTGTCGGGCCATGTCCACGCTCTCCATAACCTGTTTGCTATGTGCGTTGCTGTTTGCCGCTGGCAGCTGCCTCAGCACCATGGACAGGTTACGTAGAGACACTTTGTTCTTGCTCTACAGAGATGCAATATATATATATAAATATACATACATTGCTGAAAATGTACTCAATCCTGGCTTTTGATATTCATACGTCCCTCTCTTTGTTTACTGTACCTGCTGCAATGCTCCCGTGAAACAGTTCTTAGAACCAGTAAAGTCTCCTTTTTTCCAGTACTGCTCCCCCAATGTGTTCCAGCCATCAACCAGGCCAGGCTCCAGCTTCACAGCCCGGGAAAGGCACGTCTCTGCCACAGCACTGAAGTCTGGAGCTACGTTCAGACACCTGCCTTTCTGCAGCAGAAACTCTGCTTTGTGTTTGTAGAGATCTGTAAGAACAGAAGTACGTGAGATACAGTGGGCGTCAGAGATGTCCTGCAAACTGAAAATGCAGTGCGTAAAACAATCATCACCTTCTTTCTCTTCCAGCTTCTTCAGCGTTTTCTCCATTTCCTGCGCGACATCACTCTGCTTCCGCCCGGCTTCCTCCAGGCTGTGAGTCTCAAAATAGCAGTCTCTAAAATGATGCAGTTCATCCACAAGCTCCTGTAATTGAAGGGAGCATGGAGAGGGAGGGGGGGAGAGGGAGGGAATTAAAAATAGACCAAAGGCACATTTCCTCACAGCTAAATCTGTCTGTGTCACACGAGTGAGTTTGTTAAAATTAGGACAATCATTTGCTCGATTGAACAAAGAGTGTTATTGGTTTGAATCCCTGTGTCTGAGTGGGTTTTCTCCGGGTCCTGCAGGTTATGTTATTTGGAGACTTTAAATTGACCATAGGTGTGAGCGGTTGTGGTCTGTGATGGGCTGGGGATGTGACAGGGTGCACGTGCAAGAGGCAGGTGGATAAAGGAAGAGCGGTGTATAAATAATTGATGGATGATTTGCTATTGGGGATACACCGGCATATTATTAATATTTGGTATTTGTAATGTTTATTCTTTTAAATGTTGCAGAGTAGAAATCAGTATGTTATTGGTTTGGTTATGTTCGCTGACAATACTTGAATATGGAAGAAAGGCAGATTTATAATAATATTAGGTTGTTTCCTAATTTAACCTATGCACCTGTATTCGTCCTGGTGGTGTGTTTACTGATAAATGATTGGAGGCAATGAGGGCTCAATAAATATGACATTTATATTTGATGTAGGTTTAATCTGAGTGATATGTCAGAATAGTTAGTTTGGTGCCTCCAGACAATCTGGTGACAGAAAGTGGAAGAAACAATCCTCGCTAACATTACACGTGTATCATGTAGAAGAATGAATGATGTGTGTCTTCACATTTACTGTGACAAAAGCTTGAATACACCAGACAGTTGTTATAGTAACAAGCTGACGGGAACACAACACGCGAACGAGTGCCACACAATAACACACGACAGCTGCGGACACACAGTGAGGTTTAAACACCCGCGTAGATCCTAAAACTCAGGACTTGCCTTGAAAACCTGCAGCTCGTTGTTGTCTGTCGCTGGCTCGCCGCTCTTCTCGTCTTCCGCCATCTTTGCCCTGAAGGAGCCGGAGCCCGTTCGCAGCAGGAGACGAGGAGCTCGACGATGCGACTCACGGATACAAACTCTTTAAATGAGAGGCCGCGCTGCTGAGCCGCGGGGGGGAAAGTTTCATTTCTTCATTAATGATCGGGGATGCGATGGAGGTTTTAGCGCAGAGGAAACGGGGGGGATCTTAATTTCAGTGACGCCGGAAGTCGGAGTAGTCCGCACTGAAAATGATTCCCCTCCTCAAGAATAAACGTTTTACTGCAGAGTTTCAATTTCCTAAAATACTCAGAGTCACGTTTTATTTATGTAATCGTGATAACCCCACCCGAAACATGTCAAACAAGCGCCAGATGTATTATTTTTGCTTTGAGGCGGAACCTTTCACCCCAGCTGCTGCTCCGACACGTTTCCCCAGCGTACCGGACCTGCTGGCTCTCTGCAGGGCGGTCTGTGTGTGTGTTTGTGTGTCGGTCCGTGCCGCCGGGTCGACTCATTCCTGCGGGTGTTGTTGTGTTCTGTCGCCGTCGAAGGCAGCTCGTCATGTCGGACACGTGGAGCAACATCCAGGCGCACAAGAAGCAGCTGGACTCTCTGCGGGAGAGGCTGCAGCGGCGGCGGAAGGACCCAGCGCAACTGTCGGGTACGGTCCGAGCCGGGGGTTCGAAAGCAACCGGTGTAATTCTTTATCAGTCATGAATCAGAAGGAAAAGTTCTCTGTTGAAGTATAATTGACTCACATGGATAAAAATGGAAGTTTGTTGCGATCAGAAGCTTCTGGGATGTTTTCATTTTAACTGCGTTTATCAGAAAATACTGTGAAATGTTGAATCAACACACGATCACACCAGCGGGGCAGCTGTCAAACTTTCACTTCACCTGAAAGTTGCATCTAACTTTGCAGTTGATTATTTGAATATAGATTGAAGCTCAGTTGTAAAATTAGCCTTCACAGTCCACAGTCTATCAAATAAAGATAACAACTTGAATTCCCCAATAAATAGATAGTTATAATTAATAGCCCTATAAAATCAAAATGCCAATGTCCCTATTTATGTTTTCATTAATTGGTCAACCATTTATTCTATAAAAATATAAAAGATAGAAAACACTAAACAAGTTCCCAACCCAAAGAAAGCTGAGCCAAATAATATTTCACTGTTTGTTTGACAAAGAACCTAAACAACAAATTCAAAGTCAAAATGATTGTTGGTTAATTTAATTTGATGTGTGAGGGCCAGCTCTGTGTCACTTAAAAACCAACTCAGGGCTTTAACAACTTTAACTCCCTTCTCCACCATGTAGATGGCGGAGGCAGCACAGAGAGTTCCACAGTCAGGAGCGACAGCCCAGCTCCGTCAACTCCTGTCACCTCTCAGGAGCAGACAGAGAAACCACCAGATCCTGAACTGGAGAAGAGGCTGCTGGGATATCTGTCTGATCTGAGTCTTTCACACCCTACAGACTCTCTCGCAATCATGACGGAACTCAACAGCGTGAGTCTGTTTTTGAGTGTCCAGGAGTTTTATATAGGAAAGCCATCATGTCTGTGTCATATTGACAATTTGATTTACTGTTTTATTTAATTTTGTTCTATTTGTTTGTTGCTCACAGTCTGAATCCGCTGTTAGTCACGGGTGCATCCAGAGTCTGCTGCTCAAATTCTCAGCTCAGGAGCTCATCGAGGTCCGTCAGTCCACCTCAGCCTCTTCCTCCTCAGCCTCCTCCTCCACGGTCGTCATAGCTGTGGACCACACAAAACTATGGGCTATGATAGGCACTGGGGCTGGAGCCCAACGGACTGGCATCAAGAGAAAAGCAGAGGATCAAACCCACAACAAAAGAGCTGCAGGCTTCTCGCCCTCGCTACAGAGCTCTGCTTCTCCGCCACACTCATCTGCCACCTCTATAACGCCGGCTTCCACCTCACAGCTGGCAGGGCCTTCAGCATCAGGGAGTGGGGCGGACAAGAAGGGCAGGAGCAGTAAAAGCCAGTCATCTCATGTAGACATGGAGATCGAGAGCCTCTTGAACCAGCAGTCCACAAAAGAGCAGCAGAGCAAGAAGGTAATGATGATTATTGTGACCAGAGAAATGTTCAACTGTGGCATCACACGGATGTTGTTGTGGACGTTTTCTGGAAGCTGGTGAAAGGAGAGTTTAATTTAGACTTGATGCATCAAGGAGACCAGAAGTTGGAACAATATACAGAGTAACAAGAGTAATTGTCACCCACAAGTCTGAAGATGTCTCCCACAGCTTCCCCATATATCTTCTTCCACTTGTGTCATGCTGTCACTCTCTATGCAACATGTAGGTGTTTGCATCCTAAGTTAAGCCCATAGCCTGCATTCCTAAATCCCATTGTGTCCTTATTTCTAGCCACGAGTGTAATACACAAAAGACTTGGAGTTTGTCTGACTGGGCATCTGAGTTAGATACGAAGGTCCCTGAGCATAGACACTACAATGTCCTGTTGGTTGTCCCTTTATCTATAACCTGACCTTGGGTACTGCTTGTAGAGAGAAGGGAGTGTCTGTGGAACGAGGCAGTCCCCACTCTCCCAATGGGGCACTGATGCAATGTTCCAAAACCTCTCAACCCATGTTATTTGTGCGCAGGTGAGCAGAGAGATTCTGGAGCTGCTAAATGCCAGCACAGCCAAGGAGCAGTCCATCGTGGAGAAGTTTCGGTCTCGCGGCCGAGCTCAGGTCCAAGAGTTCTGCGATCACGGGACCAAAGAGGAGTGCGTGCGCTCCGGGGACACACCGCAGCCATGCACCAAGCTACATTTCCGGTCAGTGATTCTCAGCATACTTTAAATAATCAGAAAGCAGTGATATATATATATAATCTGTATAAAAACGAACAATAATTGAATGTTCTGTTCATGCATTGGTCCTGGTCCTTGAACTCCTTTGCCTCTGCTACATTAAAGACTTAAGGTTGACAGATTATTTATTGAACCATATTTCTGATTTCACAAATACAAAATGTATTTACTGTTAAGATTCAGAGTATTACACCTAATTTAGATAAACGATGATCTTGAACTTCAGTGTTTATACTCAGTTTGGTCTGCAGAGGGCACTGTAATAAAGGTAAAAGAAGGATTATGCCTCTTAGTTGCAGTTAAATTAAAATATTTGATGTCTGGAGTTTCTCCTCATACAAAATACCTGAGAAGATCAATAACTACATCTGCAATCATTGATTGATTGATGATTATTCTTCACTCAGTCGCATCATCAACAAGCACACGGACGAAAGCCTGGGCGATTGCTCCTTCCTCAACACGTGTTTCCACATGGACACCTGCAAATACGTCCACTATGAGATCGACAGCCCTCCTGAGGCTGAGGGGAGTCTGCTCGGGCCCCAGGCTGGAACCACGGAGCTCGGCCTCCACGCCGAGGACGCAGACAGCGACGAGGGCAAACTTTTCCCTTCACAGGTGAGGGAGAGAGCGTGGAGAGGTGAGGGGAGAAGATGGTGTGGGATAGCATGGTTGTTAATACTCTTGTGCTTTTGTTTGTCGCAGTGGATCTGCTGTGATATCCGTTTCTTAGACGTTTCCATCCTGGGTAAGTTTGCTGTGGTGATGGCCGACCCTCCCTGGGATATCCACATGGAGCTGCCCTATGGAACTCTGACCGACGACGAGATGAGAAAACTCAACATCCCCATCCTGCAGGACGATGGCTTCCTCTTCCTCTGGGTCACCGGCAGGTAAGTAATGAGGGATTGCTCTCTCCAGGTTCGGGGTAGGTTTCTTTACCGCCCAAAAGTTAAATACTTAGTTTAATAGTATTAGTAATGAGATTCTTCGTGTCTAAGATTATTTAGTCTGCAAAAGGTTTAAAGGGGTTGAACCTGCATAGTAACACATTGATAAGAGAATCCTCATGAAGTTTTACTTTGTTAAAGTGTTCCCTGCTTCTTTCCTTCCAGGGCTATGGAGTTAGGCAGAGAGTGCCTCAGTCTTTGGGGGTGAGTCTCTCCTTCCGTTTATCTCTCGTTTTTATTTGCACCCCATTTGATTTCATGTCTTGAAATGTTTCCTCTCTTCGTTGCTTTATTTATTCAGTTATGAGCGTGTTGATGAAATCATATGGGTGAAAACCAACCAGCTGCAGAGAATCATCCGCACTGGGAGAACGGGCCATTGGCTGAACCACGGGAAGGAACACTGTCTGGTAAGTTTACATGTAAATCATCTTTTATCCTTCGTTTCAATCTGTCACAGTTGAAGAGTCTCCATGTATTTTAATTTTTGGTCATTAGAGAGCCGTCTCATAGCTGGAAGGTTTTTGAAGGAAGTTACTGAGCTGCTGCTCCATTTTTATTCTTTCCAGTGCATGTTAATGATGATATTAATGCTTTGTTTTATATTGAAGACATGTGATTTGTTTCTCTTCAGGTGGGGGTGAAGGGAAACCCGCAGGGATTCAATAGAGGTCTGGACTGTGATGTCATTGTGGCCGAGGTAAACATCTATTTCTTCTGTCAAACATGCTGCAGGTACCTCATCCAGCTCCTTCAGCCTGAAACGTCTGCTTTACTAAACTCTGCTCGCTTTCTCTCTCTAGGTTCGCTCCACCAGTCACAAACCAGATGAAATCTACGGCATGATAGAGAGACTCTCGCCCGGCACCCGGAAGATTGAGCTGTTCGGTCGACCCCACAACGTCCAGCCCAACTGGTAACTCAGTCATTTTCTCTAGATCTTTTACACTGATGTATGTTCAAGTGCTTATTTGTACGGTAAGTGTTGTTTTCATTTGTTATTTGGTGCTGTGAAAACAGAGTGATATGTCATTATTGACTGACTCACGACTGGTCTAGCGCTTGTATTGTCGGGACCTCGATACAGCGGCTCCATCCCCTGATTGCTACTGGCTCCGAATGACATCATTTCTGTATAGTGGGGGGAAGTTGCGACACGTCGTCCATATTACTTTACAGTATGATTTACACCGATTGTTCCTGCTTTCCATTGTTCCCCCTCCAGGGTAACTCTTGGAAACCAGCTTGATGGAATTCATCTTCTGGATCCTGAGGTCGTGGCTCGGTTCAAGAAGCGTTATCCAGACGGCGTCATCTCCAAACCTTAAAACATGCAGTGATGAGGTCATCTGTGGACTTAGGTCTGGAGAAGTTTGTCTATAGGTTGTTTTTGTTCAATTTTGTTCATTTGTTTTTTTTTTTTATATCTGGAACTATTTTTTAAAATAAATATTGTGAACAAGATGCATCGTCTGTGTCTTGGTTAAGAAATTAAACCCCATTAAGGATGTGTGTGTGAGAATGTTTGTGATTAAAGCAGAAACAACTTTTACCATCAATAAAAACACACAAGGCATTTTGAATGTACATTCTTATTTTGTTAGTCAAGAATAAAGATATTTTCTTTTTACATTCTGGGGATTCAAAAAGCCGATGATTTGCATTAAAGGACAAAAAAGCAGGTTTTCGGAGTCAGCGCTGACATTCACATCTGTTCATTTTAGAACTCTGCTTATCTTCAACAAAGGGTTCGTTGAAAACACATTTTAATATCAAATGCACCCGGGAGTGTTTTAATTATAAAAATATAAAGACAGAATGAGCTGAAGCCAAGTGTAACTTACAAAATACCAACGAGAAATGTAAAAGCTGTGCAGCTCAGTTCACATAATGTGGAAGAGGATGTAACTAGAGGCAGCTGTTGAACATCCTCAAACCTGCAAATATAATACAGCGTGTCAACCTGACCCCGGTACGTTTCTGCTATAATTAGGATTCATTCCTTTTGAAAAGCAGGGTTTTGTGTCATAGGGCAGGATTAGAAAGTTAACTCAATGCATATTAGAAGAAATGTCAAAATATGATTAATGCGAGATTCAAACTGAGATGTTAATGTCCATACTTTGCCTCATCCTGCTTTATGAAGAGCCATGATGTCATCTGCATTTTGAAAAATAAAATACTGTGTTTTCCTCACAAAAGTTGACAGAAAAGAAATTAAAACAGGACAGTAGAAAAACAAAAACTCTTCTCCCACCTCCTCAAAAAAAAGAAAAAGAATAATGCACTTGTTGGTGTTGAATGTTGTAAACAAGTCTCCGTTGTCTCCTCTTTCATCAGTATTCTGTCCATTTGGGCAGTGGATCCACTCCATGAAGTACTCTGAAGTCTGAAAGCAATAAAGCTGGAAACTAAGTCTATTTCAGTGTTTCTGAATCTAATAAATCATCAAGAGATATTTGTTGGCAGCAAAGACCGACGGGTCAAAATGTGAATTGTGGCCTGTTCGCAGTTCCCGCTGATCTCGTCTGCAACCACAGACTCCGCACGTGAGTGGTCAGTGGAAAAATGTGATGCTGGAGTCCATTTATCTCCTCCGCAGAACCTTGTCCTCCTTTCAGTAGGTGGCGTCCACTGCGTTGATGTTGCTGTCGAGCTGGTGTCTGAACGACAGCCTGGCCTTGGTGGAGAAGTAGATCTGGGAGCCCCGACTGAGGCCCCCCGCTCCTTCGCTGTCGCTGCCCCAGGATGTCGTCGAGGACAGACGGGGCTTCATCTCCTCGAGGGGAACTGAGGGAAGAAGATACAGAAGGTCAGGCTTTAGTTGACTGTACTGCTTTTTATCCACTTTATATTTGACTTTCTCAAATAGACTGTACTTGCTCCTCACCTGCGGGTGGGGGGCACTGCCTGCTCTTGCAGCGCTCTTTACAGCGTCTGTAGAATGGGAAACACTGCAGCATCTTCACACCCATGACCGAGGCGTCTGTGGAGAGAAGAGGATGGACAGACAAATAAATATAAACGAAAGGAAAAGCCTTCTCTCACATTTGAAGTAAACAGCATTTCCCAGCATGCCCAGTTCCCCACATTTAAGCCGCCTGACAGCAGATCTGAGAGCGGCTGCCGGCTGACAGCGCCTCATCTCCTTATCAGGTCACAGATTAATGGATTTAAGATAATGCACTTCTGCAACACGATAGCCTAATGAAAGCTGACAATATCAGCAATGAGTGGCAGGGTGACCCAGCGACCAGCCAATCACTCACTAATGACAGTACCAATCATCATCATCATCATCATCATCATCATCATCATCATCCTGTCCACTGTCTAATCCTGGAAAAAGGGCGTCACTGGTATTCAGCAGCCAGAGACAGTGATTAGCTCTCAAACAGATTTACATAGGTCACCTGATGTGTGAGAGCTTTGATTAACAAGTGGATGAATTCATGAGGCTGTGGCTTTTGGTTTGAAGACAATTAAAAGCTTAGGTTCCCCAAACTTTTGCTCTGCAGCTCTGCAGCCCAGAGTCAAGCTGGACTCAGATGGCAGCTGCCTGTATGTTCTGTCAAAGCGTCAACCTGAAGCCTCTTTGTCCCGCGCCATCTTGTTTTTCAAAACCAGAAGTAACCATATTTGGAGGAGCGGGGGGGG